ATACAATATTTTTATTGACCTAGAGACTTTGTTTGACAAAAACAAAAAGTCGTTTATTAAATAGAGATTTTTTTTGGTATTACGTATAATTCGAGCTATGAACCGAACTGCGACAATTTCTCCGAAAAGCGAGTTCAAATCGAGTTTAAATGGTAAGGCCGTGCGCCGTAACATCGTAGTAGTCAAGGTTACGTTTCCATAACACGACCCCCGACGACGTGCGCCAGACGACGCTCTGTCGACCTACGGTAATTTCCCACTGTTACCCTCCATGGTTTCCCACAATTACACCGTATAACGAAAGGATCAAGATCCGGCATATCACTCAACCAATAAGGGTTGTTGTTACATATTATCTTACATTTTCTGCGATGTGTTTGGACACGATTCGATAAACGAACTGTCCGACTCTGATCAAGTATTCCATTTACTAAATCTCTAACAGTTACTAACATATCTGCCTCCCACTTGGGGTTCAACTAGTAACCCATAAAGAACCCTAGACTGGGGATAAAAGGAACTTACGTATTAATTACTCCTAGCCGCCTGGAAGCCTATAGATATGATAACGTAAATGCTGTCACCCATCTTGAGACATGAGGTCTAACTCTCAATCGTATCCAATGGCGGTTCCTAATTTGAAACATTTAAAGGCAAGGCAGGTAAAGCAGACGAGTACACTAAGCGTCTTATCCTTTAGGCCTAGGTACTTCAAAACTAGTTACTGGACATTTTGTGGCTCCACGGTTAAACACTTCCGCTGTTATTAAGTCGCAAGACTTTGTGTTACTTTGGGTTACATGTTCCAATTGAAAATTGAGATTTTAGCCGTTATAGTCGTATGGTGTCTAGAATAGCACCACACCATTTCTTCTCAGAGCTGTTGTCAAAGACGACTAAGGGGTTCACCGGTAAATAGGTACCAGCGTTCTGCAATCGCCAACTGTCATTTTAGTACTAGTAGAAGGATATTTTGTAAGCCCGCACGGGTTGGAGGCACAATCCTGAATATTTCAACCGCGGAGCAATCATTTTAAAAGGGAGCTTTTTTTTTATTGCCCCTTTTTGCATATGAACATACGGCCAACCCGATGGTGAGTGATAACCGTCGCCCATGGACTTCAGCAATGCCAGGGGCAGAACCAAGCCGCTAACTACCGATAAAACAACCTTTATACCAAAGAATTTAGATTTTGACCTCATGCAGCAAAGCCGGTGTCGCCAATCACGGCTCATGTGATCCGGTTCCAGACGCCTTAGGTAGTCATCTTCCCATTGAGGTCAATAGAATCGAACTTCCACTGAATTCTACCTTTAATACAGGTACGAGGGCGTGTGCAGTCTTACCATTAAGTACCGTCAGCTTTATTATGACATCCACTAATTTCTTTAGTTGCAGAAACGAAACATCATCATTGTTTTTTTTTTCAAAACCTAGATGGTTTTCTTGATCTCACGGCCCAGCGCATTTGGGATTTTTCAGTATCGTGGGCGCTGTCTAACCGCTTTGTACCGCTAAACCCAGAAGTTTTGATCGTGAAAAAACCTGGCCAAGTCGGCGGCGGGTAATGCACAGCCAAGGGTTCCGTTATCAGGGAGAACGCACGAATTTTGGCTAAGGTATATATTTCCTACCTTAGCTGGTAACCTAGAGGGCTATGCCAGCGTAACCCGGCGAGTAGATGAGCTCACGGAGCTCTAACCTGAGGACGTTGCCAACACTAGTCCTAGCAATAGCAATGCTTCGCAGAATCTACCAACGGATCGAAAACGCGACCCACTGAGAGATCCGGCGAGAAACTCAGTGGGCTATTGTTCTCTCATAAATCTAGTTGATTTTAACTTTAAAATCTTAATTAAAAAAAAACACCGTAACAATCTCAATTACTTAATGACTGACATTGACATTTGTTTTTTTTTTTTCAAAACAAGTCTAGTGTGCCAGTGTGAACTTACTAAAAAACACCGATCTTCCTACATAATAGTATATGTTGTAGGGTTAGGATAACTGCGTAGATCACGGTGGAAGCCAGCAGGGGTCCAAGTTCAAGGGCGATCGCGCGCCGCCGCCCCTCCCAAGCAATGACCTACATCACATTATGTTGATCGGCAGCCGCACAGAGAAACCCTCCCCTCGTAATTGCCGACTTTCAATACAAAATCACGGTAATCCGGTATACAAAGGATCTTTAATTTAATTTGTATGGAATTTAATTAATTCTGTACGGAATACGGGCGCCATATTTGCAATTTTCGTATGTTTTAGTAATCGAAATCGATAATTATATTTTTAAGTAGAGAAGAGAAATATTTTTAAGTTGAAGTAACTTCTAAGATTCTAAAGGCAACCATTATTAAAACTATGTCATTATTCTTGAATCAAATACTTAAACAGGTATATAGCTGTGTTTCGTAGCCAGTGGAATTTATTTTACTCTTACTGTCGCGAGGTTTATGAAATACATCCGTCAGTCAGGTGTATAACGCCTGTATATTTCTTGAAGTTTACAAAGTTTTTTATTACGTAGACGGGCGAACGAGCTCCCGGCCCACCTCGTCTTAAATTATCACCGAAGTCCCCAGATACAACCCAACTTCCGAAGTGAGAAAGAAGTTTCAATCATACAGTACAGCGCATGTTTCACTTTTCTAAGCGGAATGCATGACTGTTTCGTCGGAACAATGGCCAGGATGGTAGTACCCGTTTAGGCAACTTCACACAGTGTCGTCTTACCCTCCTGGCTGAGTCCGTGCTCGTCCACCTGTCCCTCGGAAACTGGAAAGACGTCTGAGCCACGACTAATCTCCACCGTCTAAAAAATTTCGTCTTAACATGATAACAAAATTGGAGGGACAACGAAGCATACAAACCTACAAATGTTCACATTCTGATTGACGGATCATTCAATATTCTACTAACTTTACCTATACGATGAAGGCACTTTTTCCATTATCTATTTGCTGGGAGCCTAAGATGCAATTACAGCTTTTCGCGGACGGGTAGGTGAGCTCACGGGCTCAACCTGAGAGAATTTGCTAAAACTATTCCTGGCAAAAGCAGTGCAGGATTTACCACCGGATCGGAATTGCGAACCACTGAGAAGATCCAGCGAGAAACTTACAGAAGGCACTATTTTGATTATTCTATGGCACTACTCAACTATAAGCAATTTGATTCCGTCGCTGATTTGCTTACAGTAAGCTCATAGATTCCATAACGATTCCGTTCTTCTTAAACTCAGATTAGTTCATATAACTTTGATCAGTCTTTTTTTCTATCCATTCCTAGTAAAAACAATTATTATAATAATAATAATAATAAGCCTTTTATTTCATGCAAATAATAGGTTACATACACGTTTCAAGTATGAAGAAGAAATTATACTAGTAAAAACAATTAACATTATAAAAAGTGTCATAACATTATTAAGATGTTAAGGCACGGCGTAACGTTTCCCCGGTCGCAGACGGGACCCACAGCACCCAATCTGCGTGCTGTGGGTCCCGTCTGCGGAGGAGATGCTGGACTCCTACCGGGCGCGTCCGTAGGTGGCGGATAACGGGATCCTCTGGGCGACATTCCCAGAGGTATCGTCCGATCTTTTTCGTTGCAAGGATTCTTAGGTTTAGGTCCTAGGCTTAGGATTAGGTTTAGATGTAGGTTAAGGTCCTAGGTTTAGGATTAGGTTAAGGTTTAGGTTTAGGATAGTTTAGTTAGGCTTTGCAACGAAAGAGATCGGATGACGCGGACCAAATCAGCACTAGGAGGAGCGGAAGGCCTGCGCCCTCCACACTTTTCACCAAGTGAAGAGTGCTCCTTCTGGAGAGCGCATTTTCCGATGGCACTGGTTCGCCGGCGTGCCGTGAGCGGTGGCACCCTGTGCCCCGTTGTCGAGGAGTGAGCCGGAGTTGCATTTCTGCGACTGCTGGCCGCTGGTTGCCATGTCCCCGGCTTCGGCTACAGGGGAGCGCCCCTCAGATATGAGGGGTACCGGTTCACCGGCGTGGCTCCGTGGTTGCTCGTATCGAGCGTCGGGCGGTTGTCTACTGAGTTGCCCTGTGCACTCGGTAGACTGCCGGCAACCCGTAATCCCCACTATGTGGGGGACGGTGGCCGCTGCCGCAAGGCACGGGGCCGCGAGGACGCAAACCTCTATAAAAAATACCCCAATCCCAAGCTCTGATGCCCGGTGAGGGGATGAATGGCTGGAGGGAGTCCAGTCCCAAGGGCATCACCCGATCCCAGGGGACCTCACCCCTGGTTAAATAATAAAGGAAAAATATGAAATGGACAGTTGTCAAGAGATAGTACCCCAGGAGGGTACCTCCCGCTTGGCGGGAGGAGAATCCCTCCGTGCCTCTGAGCAATCGGAGGCACGCTGCCCCTCGTATTCTGGGGGGGGCAACAACTGCCACGAAGAAGAGGGCGGTAGCACGAGCCGCGAAAGGGAGAGAGTCCTATTCGTGCACCCCGAACGCTGCGACAGTGCGCTCTCACTGCGCTCGGCGCGAAGCTCTGCAAGGGGCTGCGCTTCGAGCGGTCGAGAGTCGCCACTGTTTGCCCGGGATAGTACGATTTGTGAGCCGGAACAAGGCTGATCCGAGGACTCGGAGGAAGCGGAAGACGGTCAAACGACCAGTGACTCCCGCTCTCTCCGACTCCTCGGAGATTGAGCTCGCGCCTGCCAAATTTTTGGCAGTCGAGGATGGGCCGGCGGATGCTACAGGATCATCTGCCAAAGAACGCGGTCGACAAGATCTTACGGTGACCTACGGAGAACCGGCTGTCACCACCTCGGTGCGGACCGGAGCCTTCCGCCGTAAAGAAGCTGGTCTGGTGAGAGAAGGCGAGGTCGAGCGACTAACCCGCTCCCTCACAGAAGTGGACACAATGGACCCGCGGAAGGCGNGGCGAGGTCGAGCGACTAACCCGCTCCCTCACAGAAGTGGACACAATGGACCCGCGGAAGGCGGTTGAAATTTCGCTGGAAATTGTTTCCATGGTGGCGGCCAAATCAGGCTCCCTGAAGGGCACGTACGTGCGGGCCCTGAAGTGCGTGGCTGCCGCCGTGGAGAAGCTATTGGACGAGTTTCTACGACGCACTAGCACGGAGGAAGTCACCTGTCTGCGGTCGCAACTGGAGCGACTGTTGGCAGAAAACTCAGAGCTTCGAGCGGAGGGCGTGCGGGTGCGGGAAGAGATGGCCGAAATGCGTGCATCCCTTGACGGTTTCTTGGGACAGCAGGGTAAATTAGCCTCTCCGTCGCCCCCGTCCCCATCAAATGAAAGAGCGGAAAATGAGAAGGACAAGGAAATAGAGGAACTGAAAAAACGAATAGCAATCCTCGAGGCCCGCGCCTCCAAGGTTGAACGCGCAAGGCCTCCGCTGGCGCACGAGCGCCAAGCGCCTGCGCTGTCACCGTGTGACGCCTTAGCTGCACTGTCACGCACAAGGGCTGCAGGTACCAGGGTGGGTGCGGCACCTTCGGCACGCGCGTCCACCAAAGTGGCCGCGTCAAACAAGCTCGTTGGACGGCGAATGGCGGTCCAGCCCGTGAGGCCTCAGGCTGATGCTTCTGCCCCGCTCCAGCCTGCGAAGGCGGGGCCTGGCAGAAGCCGCAAGAACACAAAGGGGTGTGTGAATGCCGCCCAGCCGGCGCAACGCCCACAGCCCCGTCCACTACCTCCAGCCCCGTCCAACATGGAAGCAGCCTGGACGACGGTAGTGAAACGCGGTCGAAGGAGGGCGCTAGACGTTCCTAGCCCCCGTCCCGTCCCGACGGTCAACACTCCCCAGGTAATGGGTCGAGCAGTGACTGAGGGAAAGAGAAAGGGAGGGCGCAAGGCAAGAAAACCGCGCGCCCCGCGGTCGGCGGCTGTCGTATTGGAGCTGCTGCCGGCTGCCAAGGAAAAGGGCCTCACCTATGGGGAGGTGATGGCCCGGGCGCGCGTTAGCGTCGACGTGGATGCCATGGGCGTGGAGGGTGGCCTCCGAGTCCGGCACACCGCCAATGGGGCCCGGTTGCTGGAGTGTCCTGGTGCCAACACCAGCGCGGTCGCGGACAGGGTAGCAGCCCGGCTCCGCGAAATCCTGCCGGACCCAGAACTGGTGCGTATAGACAGGCCCGTCAAGATGGCGGAAATCAAAGTGACGGGCCTGGATGAATGCGCCACTAAGGAGGAAGTGGCCGCCGCCATTGCATCGCAGGGCAATTGCGCCCTTACGCAGGTGAAGGTAGGAGAGTTGCGAAGCTCTTACTCTGGAGCCTTCACTGTGTGGGCGCGTTGCCCTATGCAGGCAGCCACACTCCTGGCTACGCCTCCACGAGGTCGGCCCGCCGACTCACCAGGGAGGCTACGCGTAGGCTGGGTGATAGCCCACGTGCAGCTACAGAAGGCCCGCCCCTGGCGATGCCTCCGGTGTTTCGGCACCGGGCACGGCCTCGCCAGGTGCCCGTCGGCTGTGGACCGCAGCGGTCTTTGTTTCCGCTGCGGCCAGCCCGGTCACAAGGCGGGCTCCTGCACAGCCGCCGCACCGCACTGCGTGCTATGCGACGCGGCGAAGCGGCGGGCCGATCATCGGGCCGGGGGCCCGTCCTGTCTTTCCGCACCCTCCTCCACAAAGAGGAGGCGTGGCGGAAAAAAGAAGAAAAATATAGAGGAAGGGCCGGCTGCCTATGATACAGCCGGCCGGTCAGTTCCCGCCGCGGCCGTCGGGCCGCAAGGCGGGACGGAAGACGAGGGAGCGATGGACGTGACACCTCAATAATGGATCACGTCCATCGCTTCCTTCAAGCGAACGTGAACCACTCCGCCAGGGCGCAGGATCTCCTCGTCCACACCATGGCGGAGTGGTTCATCGACATCGCGATCGTTGCGGAGCCATACTTCGTACCTCCCGACCGGGAGGATTCCTGGGCCGGAGATGTTGATGGCTCCGTGGCGATCGTGATGCGACAGTCTGCGGCGTTACCCCCCCTTGGAATGGTGGCCAGGGGATCCGGGTACGTCGTCGTTAGGGTCAACGAAACCGTCGTGATCGGGGTGTACTTCTCTCCGAACAGGAGTCTCGCTGAGTTCGAGCGGTTCCTGGGCGGGCTCGAGGCGTTGGTTCATCGCTTCGAGTCTCGCCCGGTGATACTGGCGGGGGACCTCAACGCTAAATGTACGGCGTGGGGTTCTCCCCGCACGGACTCGCGCGGCGAGTTCCTGTCGGAGTGGGCTTTCGCGACCGGTCTCTGTCTTCTGAACAAAGGTTCGGTCGCGACCTGCGTGCGGTGGAACGGGGAATCACACGTGGACGTGTCGTTCGCGTCTCCGTCCGCCGCACGCCGTGTCCGTGGCTGGCGTGTTCTCGAGGGGGCGGAGACGCTCTCGGACCATCGGTTCGTCCGATTTGAGCTCTCCGTTTCCACCTTGTTGAACGCGCCGGACGAAGACGCCCGCGGTGAGGAGGAGCTCCCGCGTAGTGCTCCCCGATCATTCCCGCGATGGGCACTGAAGCGCCTGAACAAGGTGCTTGCGGTGGAGGCGGCCACAGTGGCCGCGTGGGCGCCGATGCCCGCGCGTCTAGTGGACGTGGAGTTGGAGGCCGAATGGTTCCGGGGTACGATGCGTCGCGTCTGCGATGCTGCGATGCCCCGGGTCAGCGGTCGCGCTCCGCGTGGCGGTGCGTATTGGTGGACGCCCGAGATCGCGCTCCTCCGAGAGGAGTGCGTGCGGGCGCGCCGCCGAAGCGCCCGCCACCGCCGTCGCCGCCTTCGCGATGCGGACTTCGCGGAGGTGGCGACCCGCCTGCATGCCGACTGCCGTCAGAAGCAGGAGGCACTGCGGCGGGCCATCGGCGAGGCCAAGTCTCAGAGCATGAAGACGCTCCTGGAGACGCTTGACCAAGATCCTTGGGGGCGCCCGTACCAAACGGTCCGCAAGAAATTGCGGCCGTGGGCGCTCCCGGTGACGGAACGTCTCCAGCCTCAGCAGCTGCGGGAGATTGTCTCCGGGCTGTTCCCGCGGATGGAGAGGGGCTTCGAGCCCCCTTCCATGGGCGCGCCACCACGCAGTAGCGTGAGCGGTGATGCCCCTGCTGAGGTGGTCCCTCCGAGCATCTCGGAGGAGGAGATTCGTGCGGCCGTGTCGAGGATGCGGAGGAAGGACGCGGCCCCCGGCCCTGACGGTGTTCACGGCCGGGTCTGGGATTTGGCCTTCGGTGCCCTTGGGGACCGACTCGTGCGGCTCTATGAAGCCTGCCTCGAGTCGGGACGGTTTCCGAAGCAGTGGAAGACGGGCAGACTTGTTCTGCTAAGGAAGGAGGGACGCCCCGCGGACTCACCTGCGGGATATCGTCCCATCGTGCTGCTGGACGAGGCTGGAAAATTGCTCGAGCGGGTGGTGGCCGCCCGCATCGTCCAGCATCTGACGGGGGTGGGTCCCGATCTGTCAGCGGAGCAGNCCGGGCGTCCTCGGGGTGGCGCCGCGTGTCTGGTTGTAGTGTTGACCGCGGGAACCCCCCTACTCTGAACGGGTTCTGACCCCGGACGGAGATCGGACGTCGGGTGTAAGAGTGCAGGGGAGTCGTTTAGTGGGTGGGCCCTAAAATCCTTGGGCCCGCGATCTGCTCTCAACACCTGCAGATCGTTGAGTCTCACATACCCCGCGCGCCCCCTAGGCGCGGGGACCTCGTAGGAGGTTCGGCCCCCGGCCCGAAAAAAAAAAAAAAAAAAAAAAAAACGGCGTAACGTTTCAATTTCGAGGAAAAGTGTTTTAAAAAGGATTAGTGTCACTTAGAATTAACAACTTTCACGACTCCAGTTGTTCTAAGAGAATCAACCACATTACGTGAATATTAAAAGAGCGCATGCGACGTAATATGCTAAATTGTACTTTATTGCACACAACAACAATAGGTACAAATACAACCAGACAAGAAGCATCCAAAGTTAAAAAAAACAGTGACTATATAACGAAAGATTGCTCAAAGTAATTGCAGTCTAATAAGACTACAATAGTAGTTATAATAAATTAGATTAGTATTTCTACGTTAATTGATGCCGATCTAGTATTTACCTCTGTATGCATAAAAATTAAAAGTCGTCGTGGCCTAAAGGATAATACGTCCGGTGCATTCGTATGTAGCGATGCACCGGTGTTCGAATCCCGCAGCCGGCTACCAATTTTTGTAATGAAATACGTACTTAACAAATGTACACGATTGACTTCCACGTTGAAGGAATAACATCGTGTAATAAAAATCAAACCCGCAAAATTATAATTTGCGTAATCACTGGGGGTAGGACCTCTTGTGAGTCCGCACGGGTAGGTACCACCACCCCGCCTATTTCTGCCGTGAAGCAGTAATGCGTTTCGGTTTGAAGGGCGGGGGAGCCGTTGTAACTATACTGAGACCTTAGAACTTATATCTCAAGGTGGGTGGCGGACTTACATTGTAGATGTCTATGGGCTTCAGTAACCACTTAACACCAGGTGGGCTGTGAGCTCGTCCACCCATCTAAGCAATAAAAAAAAATCTTGTCAGTTTTTGCGGCATATTTATAACTCTAGAGGACTTCTTCAAAGAGCAAGCCACTTTAAAATCACTGCAAATTTATAGCATACTTTTGGGCCACAAATGGAGCAAGTCAAAGAGTCCGCTGTACCTATTCAAGAAGATCTCAGTGTTATGAAGAACACAATGTTGCATTTTTCGAAAACAACAAACACGTTGTCATAGTAACCATAACAGCTTACTTTGGTAGGCGTTAGATCTTTTTTGAGTTTTCGTGGCCTAAAGGATAAGACGGCGGGAGCCAGAACAGAATCACTTGCATTGGAGTACAATTGTCAGTTATTAAAAAAAAATTATCACGCCCTCCACTCTGCGACCTAAGTTCAAGATGTTACAATTGCAATTCTCTATAGAGTTTAATTGGTGTCCAGTTGACCGCAATTTATCGAGATGGTTTTAAAATCTTGTATATGTTAGACTCCCCCAACAAACCCTACCTTTTTAAAATAATGGCCATTCTGCACTCTAATGTGTTACGGTGCAGAGCTGTCAAATAGACTCGCCCGGTGAGACTTGAGAAATAAAAATAGCACCGGCTTGGATTTTGTGGTTTAGAAAATCCACACACGAAAATTTGGAAATTAAAAAAATCATATGTGTTTGGTTTTATATTTCTTTTTAATATTTTATTATATCTAATTCAACAGGGAAAAATTATTAAATCACATTTCAAACATAAATGATACATAATGATTGTTAAAATAATTAAGTACAACGATATTTACCCGATGAACATCGATGTGAACAGCGCCAAACGTAGTAAAATTGATTTAGAATATATTTTTTCATTACATTTTTGTAGAGCTTTTCACCGTGTTTTTCAAATGTTTGCTGATTATTTAACGAATTTAATTAGATGTTAATAAATGAGAGGCATAAATGGCTCTTCAAAACGAATTCTCAATGTTGAAATATGGAGGTCAATATCATACAAATTTTATTAACAGCTAAAAATATAGTTAGGTTTTGAACAATAAATAAGCATGTGAGTGGGTACCCGGTTTGCAATAATAAACATGAGATTTCTAAGTTTTACCTGAAATATAGCGATNACGAATTTAGTTAGATGTTAATAAATGAGAGGCATAAATGGCTCTTCAAAACGAATTCTCAATGTTGAAATATGGAGGTCAATATCATACAAATTTTATTAACAGCTAAAAATATAGTTAGGTTTTGAACAATAAATAAGCATGTGAGTGGGTACCCGGTTTGCAATAATAAACATGAGATTTCTAAGTTTTACCTGAAATATAGCGATAGTTTGCTTACAATTCTTACTGGTGGTAGGACCTCTTGTGAGTCCGCGCGGGTGGGTACCACCGCCCTGCCTATTTCTGCCGTGAAGCAGTAATGCGTTTCGGTTTGAAGGGTGGGGCAACCGTTGTAACTACACTGAGACCTTAGAACTTACATCTCAAGGTGGGTGGCGCATTTACGTTGTGGATGTCTATGGGCTCCAGTAACCACTTAACACCAGGTGGGCTGTGAGCTCGTCCACCCATTTAAGCAATAAAAAAAAAAAGAAAACATTTATTGTGCCTAACATATTTTTTGGTCTTGCAACATCTAAAATGTTGCTAGTATTGCTTGTAAAATCCAATACTTTTTTGTTCTTGGATTTTTGCATGTCATTTATATGTATTATCTATGACTAGTGGCTTCGGCCTTAATGACATTTTTATTTCAGGATATATTAATATATATCATATAAGACCTGGCTTCGACTTTTTTGAAAAAAAAATTCTGAACATATATAGAACAGACAAGGCTGTATGGGCTTAGATCCCCTTGCCTTTCCTAACAAGGAAAAATTGTACCAAAAAAAAATATGTATCTATGACTAGCTGGTGAGAGAGCGGCTCCGTTATACCAGATACCACTGTTAATGCGAAATTTGACGTATACGATATTTATGCTTGAAATCAAATATCTTCCAGGGATCTTTTCATTTTAATTTTCCTTAAGTAACCTATGTTCGAATCAGGTGTGTAACGGGTAGCTATTATGGAACAGAATGATATTTGATAGACGCCTGAATCTCGCTAGCGACATTTTCTAGAGAAGTTTGCACACGTACCTACAAGCTGCGATTAATAACATTTGAACCGTCGGTCTACCCAGAAATTTCACTAACTCAATGGAAAAAAATATACCTACAAACACTCATACTTTAAATAAAATACGTAAATTACTTTTTGAACGATTCTAAAATTAGATTTTTATCCTTTTGAGGGTACCAAAAGCGAACACATACTTTTTTATTGCTTAACTAGCGACCCGCCCTTGCTTCGCTTCGGAAACATTAAATTTGATTATTAATAGCCGAGTCTAGCGACGTTACCCGCGGTTATTGTCGTACCGCGAGTGACGCTACGGGGCGAACCTAGTCTAAAAAAAGTGGCCTAAGTTACTCTTTATATCATCATCATCATCATCATCATTAGCCTGTATCTCTCCACTGCTGGATGTAGGCCTCTCCCATAGTCCGCCACAAAGAACGATCCTCCGCCTTCCGCATCCAATCTCTCCCAGCATATCGCCGCAAGTCATCGGTCCAACGGGCAAGGGGATGCCCAACACTGCGCTTACCGGTACGTGGTCTCCAGTCCAGAACACGTCTGCTCCAACGGCCATCGGTTCTGCGACACGTATGTCCGGCCCATATGGAGTAGTAACGTTTGCCTACGTTTGCCACCAGGGGCGCTGTTCCAACTGCATACAAAGTTGAGTTAACTTTTACGCTATCGATAACGTTAAAAAACTCGCAATAAGCACACAGACGAGGTGAGCAAACTTCAAATCGCTTACGACGTTTCGATACTATGAAGAATCTTGACATAAACCGTCAAATATTTAACGAACGTATTGTGCGCGTGGATTCCGTTTTCAAAATGTGTGTCGTGCGGCTAATTATCACGCCGTAACCGCAACACATCGAAAAACCTTTCAAAAAATTGCCAGAGGCAAAAAATCTACAGCTCGTCGGGGGGTCGCGAACTCAGTATTCGTCCCAATTTCGAACAGCCTAACAACCTTTGCCTTTTTAGACAATTAACCTGAATGAACAAATTGCTTTTAATCACTAATATAATTCAGTCTTTTGGTTGTCGAATTCTATGTGAAAATCTTCTGTTACTATCTGATATAATTATCAGCTGTTCTAATAAGCCGGGCTCCTGCTACAATTTTATTGTGGTAGCAAATAATACTCTCTTAACTTTCCGAAATCGGGGCGTGACCTGTTTTGGTAAATAAAAACTACCCATTTTCTTAGAAAGAGCCGAATGATATTCCCACTTCTCTATGTGGGAGTGGGGTGCCATTGAACAGTATTTTAACTCTAACCTATGTTCTCGAAATGGGTAATCGAGAAGTTAATCTACCTCCTTTTTAATATATCCCCACAGGATGTCTTGCGAAGAATAGTAGCTGTAACGACAATTAACTAAACTATAATTATAACTATAATTCAATGTCTTAAAAATGTTTTAATCTAGATGTTAATTTGCAAAAAATATCACTTTATACATAATAATACACACAATATAAAATAAATTACTTTATTATTATGTTATTAATAGTGATTACACTATAAAAATAAATATATGAATTTGAATATGTATTAGGTATTGTATAGTATGCAATAAGAGATAATATGTACATACATAAATACTTAATACATAATATATTCTTCGCCACCCACCATCAGATTTCGAGACGAATACTTAATTATAAAAATTAATAGATAAATTAGAATAATTAAAGTAAATTAAAATTTGATATATAGATCTTATGATTTATTTAAAAAAAATTATACATTTAAAATAAGTTGTTCGTTTATATCAATTTATATTTCATAGTAGCAGAGAGCGGAACGTTTTATTTGATCCATTCACTAAACACATTCAGGTTCTAACATACCTACATTATTATGTTCTGTTAGATACTGTATTTAGGAATAAATAAAGATAGGTTTAAAGCAAAATTACAATGTTCGCACTGAAAATCAGTCTACAACACGAAATAGTCAAATAAAAATTTCGTTTGCTGTAAAAGTAATTATTCTTTCCAGTTAATGAAATATTTTATTTAAACGAAAAAAATCGAGTTTTTTTTGTTAATTTAATACTTTTACGGCTTAATCTTGCGTTTTTTACCATTATTTTTATCGATACATCGGAAATAATTAATAAAAAATTAATAAAAGTGAGATTAAACCGTAAAAATACTTTTATATATTAGGTTTACGATCCGTGAAAACCGATGAGAACACTAGTTAAGTATTTTGCTAGTTGTAAAACGACTTGAAGATATTTTGTAATCTTCGTAGACTAAAGCTATTTATTTAGGAGCATATTCTTGTAGAATATGTGGAAAAATTACAGAACTTGATAAGATAATCTCATTAAACCTGTAACACATGGCAGAAATAAGCAGAATGGCAGTGCCTAACCATCCGGGTTTACAATATGTCCCAGAATTTGATGCGACTCTCAACCCTCCTTAAGAATGATATGTCTGCGATTCATAATATGAATTAAGAATTAAGGTAACAACGAAGGAAAAAAAACTAGTGCTACTGATGATCTACGCATGATTGGCTCGTAGAGACCCAGAGTGAGGCGGCCAAGGTAGCACCCCGTATCTTCTGAAAGACAGACTATCTTATTATAATTTCCAGACCTTCTGATCTCACTCAACTAAATGCCTAACAGAATGAATAAACCATAACTACATAAACAATATTATTTAACTAATATTTTAAGCAAAGGCATTAAGTATACCTCATATCTTATCATTTAGAAATCGCGCACTAACTCACAAGTATTCAACGTTCGATCGAAAATAATTTAGGTAGGTAATCGAAAATTCCATTGAGTACAACAGTCTAGTGACCCAAAGACACAATATATCAGAATTTATTTGCGAATTGAAAGTTTTATTGAATTTCGTGTTCATCGCTGGGGTCTTTGAAGGTCAGTTTGTGGTTTTAGATACCGTACTACACACACAGAACGCTCGTACCACTAGCACTGGCTATGAATTGTTAAATACTGACTTAAAAACTTGATATGTGGGATTTGAAGTCAAAAACATACAGTTTTTGATTGAAATCTTTCTGTGCCGACGAAACTATCAAACAATTTATGGCAATCCTCAACGAAATATGTAATACCACTTTTGTTATTCCTCTCTTATCGATTTTAGCTACTACTTATACAATCACTATAATTTAACAACAAAGGTAAATGACAATTATTAATATTAAAACTATTAAGTTGATATTGCTTGTTCATTTTTTTATTAAAAATAATTTGCAATATAAGTATAATTTTGGACATATCATACACAGTGATCTGGCCTCAAACTCG